GATACAAATATTGTTAATGAATCAATTTAGTTAGAAAAATCATTATAACCTTAAGTTATGATGATGCTGCAGACAAGTCGTCAACTTCTGAAGAGTACTCGTTAAAGAATGCCACTAATACACTATACATTTTCCTTTTATATCGCTGTATTTCTTAGGGCTCTTAATATTTTGACAAAAATGTAAAAAGAGGAAATACACAAATGGTAATTATTTTAAATCGTCGAAAATTTCTTCGACACAAGGGTAATCAAAGTCAGTCTGGCAATAAGTGTTGCGAAACACGCCGAGTCTCGCGATCCAATTTTACACAGGGATCAAATAATAGAGAGAAGAGCGCGCAGGGCGATTTTGTTCACGTAATAATGTAATTCTCAAAAACAAAAGATGAGAAAAGGAAGAACAAAGAGCAGACATGCGCATCACACCCTTTCCGGTAACAAAGACTACAAAATCATTATCTTGGAGCAACCTCGCTTTGATAAACCAGAATCCGTCAGCCTCTCAGTTTCCACCTCCGACGGCCGCCCCATAAGCACAGGTAATTTCACTTAAGTTTCCACACTATTAATATGTTTTATGCTAATATTATTTTCGCTATTTTTCATGTACTTATTTATATGTGCACAAAATACACTAAGCTTCGGTAAGTGCCAATTTAAGCTACGAGAAAGAGTAGTTAATGTGTGGTTAACGCAAAATTTTTTTTTTTTTTGGTCCTTACAATTGGAGATACAAATGACATGAGGATTCCTAAACAACCTTTTTTTAATTATATTTTACAATGTATAGAATCTGCACTGATTTCTAAGACTTTCACGGGAAATACGTGTCCAGGTTCTTATAACATTTCACCTTTCTTAGTAAATCTTCTTTTGTCGAAGTGACGGATTTTTAAAAAAAACGACAGCAATAAGAACAAAAACAAAAGCTTTAGGAAAGAAACTGAAATCGGTTACGCGTTTGAGTCTAGACACGTCGGACGCTAGAAATTTTAGAATTTAAATCTAAAATTGTCGTCCTGCATGTTCAGCGTTTCCTCTTGTCACATAATTAAACCTTTATTTTTTCATATATATATATATATATATATATATATATATATATATATATATATATACCCTTCCCCCAGCATAAATATAATTCCATCAATAATAACATTATTTTAGACTGATGAAGTCATTTTAAGGTACGAAACGCGTTAAGTAGATTTTTTTTTTTTGATATTTTCATTTGATTACCCAACAAATTACCACCATGTTTAAAGACGACGAAATTTAGGAAATCGGCTATGGAAACTGAGTTTAAATTATCAGGTACATCAGTCGTTTTTTGTGCCATGCGTGATACACGCTTAGGCGATCTTTCGAGGCAGATTTTTTCCCGCAGTAGGTTGCCATTTCTTTCTGCGGTATACCAGTTGCCATCCAAGGCTTTAGAACCCGGTCTGTCATGCTGTTTAACCATATCTGAGGGTCGAGGGAAGAAGTGGATTCATACCTTTCACATAGCACATAAGTGAATGTAAAGGATCTGACTGGAGTTTGAAATCGGCTCTCCGATTTCTCAATTCGATCCGCTATCAATTACTCCACCGTAGAAATGAGCATAAACTTACCTACGCTATTTACATTATTCGGACTATTGTCCTCATCTTTGTCACCATATTTATTACAACGTTTCGGCCGTTGTACACTACGGCCATCTTCAGGTGGTTGGAATGTCGAACTGAACCCTTTATTTCGCTCATTGGGGAAGGCTGTTCTAGTTCCACGTGCCATGTTTAATGGATGTCATTTGTCAGTTATCTCCTGTTAATTCCCGTCTCCAAGTTCTCCACTGCCTTAAACGGGTATTGAACTCACACACTTTGGGTCCTGTCACTGGATCTAACTAACGCATGCATTGGAGAATTTGAAGAGGGAAATTAACAGGAGATAACTGATAACTTGGGGTACAAATTCGTCATCCATCTACACTTTCCCGAAGTGGTGGCTGTGAATACGAATCGATGGCACATGAAGCACGCGACGGTCATGGCCGTCTCACTCAAGGGTGGACGAGAACTCTTCCTAAATTTTATTGCAATTCACGTGAAGGAGGCAAACTGAATGCTCACACGCGCTGATTGGCCGACAAAACATGGGCCCTTCCAACAACATACATCACGCCCTCTCCTGACCGAGAGACGCTAGTGTCGGAGACGGGAAATATCCTGTATGCGAATTAGACATGTACGTTCATACACACAAAATATTTTTATTTATGCATACGGGATATACATCGTATGTATTAACACGCATTAATATTAACACTCTCACTCTGACTTACTAGAAAATTCGCTGTTAATAACTCATTCTTGAATTGTCCCCTTATTCTGTTGGTATAGTAAGGGTTCACATTCTACGCATGTCTCACCAAAATATTACCATAGGGACATGCACCCCACGTTGGGAATCATTACTGTAAACTATGTTTGACCCATTATTAACCAACCAATCACTGTTCTGCTATTCATTTACCCAAGTTCGTTAAATCGGTTAATCACTGTTTCCCTCGACGCCTCTTACCTTTAATATATCTTGTGTGTGTCAAATTCTCCAATCCTTCCTTCCTCATTATGAAATTTCAAATGTCTCTTTCTGATTTTAAACAAAAGTATCCTTTCTCTTTCTATTTTCCTTTAAAATGTATTTGTTGCTCACAGGTTCCAGCCATTTTTATTCTCAATGGCCTTCGGGGCTGCGTCGGTTTAAGCACGTCGTATCTAACGACTCTTTCTGTAATATTCTTTGATCATTTTAATCAGGAAATACAAAATAATACAAAATGAAATTTGACTTCACTAGAAAACAATTCACTGTCAATAAATCATTTTCGAATTGTTCCCATATTCTGTTGGTATAGTAAGCCGAAGGGTGCACATACTACGCAGACCCCACCAAAATACTATCAGGTCATCCCATAAGTTCTGTCCGAATTTTAACTTTTTGTTAAAATGAACGAAATTTAAAGAGTATTTTATAATGTCTAATGGAGCTGAACATTATTTTTATGCTTAGATGCATTTAAACTGATTAAATTGTATTTCAGAGAACAATAAAATTAAATTTTGTTTGATTAAAACCCTGCTAACATGGAAGTACCCAAGAATCATTTGAGGCACATAATGCTTTATGTGTTCAAGAAAGGAAACTCAGCAGCCGAAGCGGCTAGAAACATTCACTCAGTTTATGAAGAGGAATGTGTGAATGAAAGAACTTGCAGAAGATGGTTTGCAAAATTCAGAGGTGGAGATTTCAGCCTTGAAGATGAAGATCGAACCGGAGGTCTAGTTGAGTTTGATGAAAAGCTTCTTGAAGCAGCCCTTGAAGAAAATCCTGCTTTATCAGTTGAGGAATTGACAGTGGTTCTCAGTTCAAACCATACAACTGTTCATTGTCATCTTCAACAACTTGGGAAAGTTCCTCAACTTAGAAAATGGGTGCCTCATGAATTGTCTGAAAACAACCTCAAATCCCGAGTTGACATCTGCTCTTCTCTCCATTCTCGCCAACTTGTTTCACCTTTTTTGGATAGATTTGTGACTGGCGACGAAAAATGGATCTTTTATCGAAATGTTAAGCGTCGTAGATAGTGGCTTGGTAAAGGGGAAGGACCCCAGCCACAGCCGAGAAGGGAACTTCATGGGCAAAATGTTTTTCTTTCAATCTGATGGGATCGCCAAGGAATGATTCACTTTGAATTCTTACCACCTAATGCAACAATTAATGCTCAAATATACTGTCAGCAATTAGAGCATTTAAACCAAGCTTTGAGGGAAAAAAAAGACCTGCTCTAGTGAATCGAAAAGGGGTGATGTTTCATCAGGACAATGCGCGACCCCACACAGCAAGAATCACCTCACAAATGATCGAAGAACTTGGTTGGGAGAAAATTCCTCATCCACCTTATTCTCCCGATCTTGCCCATTCAGACTACCATTTGTTTCGTAGCTTACAGAATAATTTGGAAGAAACAGCTTTTGTAACTCAGGAAGAGGTTAAAACTGACAATTGTGAGTTCTTCGAATCAAAGCCAAAAGAATTTTACAGTAATGGAATTTGTAAGCTTGTTAATAGATGGAAGGAAGTCATAGATAATCAGGGAAAATACATTGTTGATTGAATCTGTAATTAAATGTAACATTTGGTCACTTTACTTTATTCAAAATTTGGACAGAACTTATGGGATGACCGGATACTATTCTCCACCGGTGGGGCATACGTCCCACGTTGGGAATCATTGTATTAAAGAAAAGAGAGAAGAACGGTCTAAACGTATGGATGGCAACAAAAAGAACAGATCATTATGGACTTACAAATTGGCGATACCAAAATCAAGCAAGTACAAATATTTAAATACTCAGGAAATGTTTTAACAGAGGACTGAAAGTGCGACGACCAAAATATTAAGTATTAAGAAAAGGTTACAAAGAAAATAGTACTCATCGCTTGCGTAATATCGGACCTCCCATATGGTAATAAATGATGGGTACTTGAGGCAAGAGAAATGTAGTTCTACAGAAGGATGCTGAGAATGAGAAGTTTTGAAGAAATGGTAAATAGAAAAGTTCACTTACATTTAACATCAGAAGGTGGAAGTTAAACTTTCTAGGGAAGATAATGAGGAAAGACGGCTAGGGTAATTTGGCACTGAGCGGTCATATCGAAGGCAAGAGGGACAGCAGACAGCAGCGTATAACCTACCTAACGAGCTAGTGTAATTGGATGGCAGAACAGGGATTAGGAGAGATAGCGAAAAGATAAAACTTTACAAAGAGCTACAAAGACGGGGCACTGGGGAAGCTTTACTCGCCGACGTCCTAAAAGGACATAGCAGAATAAGAATAAATAGTTGGTTAGATAGATAAACAGACTTATATATATATATATATATATATATATATATATATATATATATAGATAGATAGATAGATAGATAGATAGATATGAGCAGACTGAGATAGATAGATCGATCGATCGGTCGATAGATATAAACAGACTGAGATACATAGATAAACTATGATAGATAGATAGAGAGAAAGAGAGAGATATGGGCAAACTTAGATATGAACAGACTGAGATAGATAGATAAACTGCAATAGATAGATAGTTAGATAGATAGATAGATAGATAGATAGATAGATAGATAGAAACAGACAGATAGATAGATAGATAGATATAGATAGATAGATAGATAGATATGAACAGACTTAGATATGAACAGACTGAGACAGACTGAGATAGATAGATAGATAGATAGATAGATAGATAGATAGATAGATAGATATGAGCAGACTGAGATAGATATGAACATAGATAGATATAAACAGACTGACATATATAGAAAAACTGAGATAGATAGATATGAACAGACTTAGATATGAACAGACTGAGATAGATAGATAGATAGATAGATAGATAGATAGATAGATAGAAACACACTGAGATAGATATGAACAGACTTAGATATGAACAGACTGAGATAGATAGATAGATAGATAGATAGATAGATAGATAGATAGATGAATGAATGTGAACAGACTGAGATAGATAGATAGATAGATAGATAGATAGATAGATAGATAGATAGATAGATAGATAGATATGAGCAGACTGAGATAGATATGAACATAGATATAAACAGACTGGCATACATAGATAAACTGAGATAGATAGATAGATAGATAGATAGATAGATAGATAGATAGATAGATGAACAGACTTAGATATGAACAGACTGAGATAGATAGATAGATAGATAGATAGATAGATAGATAGATAGATAGATAGATAGAAACACACTGAGATAGATATGAACAGACTTAGATATGAACAGACTGAGATATGAACAGACTGAGATAGATAGATAGATAGATATGAACAGACTAAGGTAGATATGAACATAGATAGATAGATAGATAGATAGATAGATAGATAGATAGATTAAACGACTCAAATGAGGTCTATCAGTAAAATGTGTAAGCGCACATATGGGAATAGTAAGTTCAATCTTGTTTCAGCCTATGTAGCCATATTTTATTTCCAACAGACTAACATTTGCAACCCCGAACCATCATGGCGTCGGAATTCAGTTTCTCATTTTCTTCAGATATAACTTGGAACCCGAGACACTCACGCCAAGTAATTTATAATCCATTGTTTATTCCTCTCCTCCTGTTTAGAGTACAGAATTAGTTCAATTGGCCCGCCTGGTAGCGAGCTTCATTACCCACCTAGTCTCCAGAGCTAGTCTACAGTATTTGCTTCTTTAAAAGCTCTTGCAAATTTAACTTACATTACAGTGACAAATTTGGCTTACTCACGGTCGCCAATCAAAGAGCCAAATAAACTCGTGGGGTTTAAAAATAGATATGCATAAAAACTGTCAGATGAATTGTTATTGTCTGTCTATATTTCTGAGATGAGTTATTATGTACACTATTTGCATTGCTCGGACTATCATCCTCATCTTTGTGGCCATATTTATAGCAACGTTTCGGCCGTTGTACGCTCCGGACTTCTTCTGGTGGTTGAAATGTCGAACTGAACGCCAGCGAGTGAAATAAAGGGTTCAGTTCGACGTTCCAAACACCTGAAAAAGGCCGGAGCGTACAACGGCCGAAACGTGATAAATATGGCAACAAAGATGAGGATGATAGTCCGAATTGTTATTGCTATTGTCTTTCAAAACTAGAGACATATCTATAGAAAGTGACAACTATCACAAAGCATTAAAATTTCACCCCTACCTAAACAGCTTTTACCCTCCAAAAATGCAAAGTAGATCTTCTAATTAAAAATGTCAAGAGCATTAATATATATATTAAATTACGACACATCAACAAGAAGACGACCATCATGGGTATGACGATAAACTACATCCGCGTCCTGGGTAAGACGATTAACTACATCCGCGCCCTGGGTAAGACGATTAACTACATCCGCGTCCTGGGTAAGACGATTAACTACATCCGTGTCCTGGGTAAGATGATAAACTACATCCAACAGCAAGGCCTCGGATCAGGAGACTTTGAGTAGCGTAGAACCACCTTTTAATTTACCGTTGTTCCCAGGTCCACCCTAACCCGGGGTGGTAGCACCTGTTAGGGTCCCAGCTATGGGCAAATGCTTAACCCCCAAACTGGGGTCAAAACTCTATGAAAGTGTAAAAATAGGTTTTAATACCAGTAATACATTTTTTTTTCTGAAAAATTATTGCTATCAATAAATTTTTGAAGAAAATATTATTAACAGAAAACATTATTACAAGAAATACTTATTTGGAAAAAATATTACCGGCAATGCATTTTTGGAAAAAAAATATTACCAGAAATACATTTTTTGATAAAATATTACCTGAAATACTTTTTAAAAAAAAATACCTGCAATACAAATCTTGTCGGCATTAAAGAGCCCATTGAGGTTGATATACCGTAAAACAAACGAAATCAAACCAAACAAGAAGACGATCTTTTATTTGGTATATTTTAGTTTAAGGAAATTAAAAATTTGAGAATTTATTCCTATCAAACAAGGGAGGTAATTCCGCTAAGACGCAAATGGGCTACCAAGAGTGAAAGAGAATGAAAGGAACTAGAAACACAACCCTAATCAGGAAACAAAGGATAAACCTTTACTCCTGTTCAAAAGACAAGGGAAGAGTGTGAACCGGACATTAAATAAATGGTAACCACCAAACTTTCCATTACAAATTTGAAGTTAAGGTCTGCCTGGAGCCGCTTCAATTGTTATAAAAAAGAAGGACCAGCAGATAAGCTTCAGAAGGTATTCTACATTCAAGGAAGAATGTAATGAAATTTCAAGACAGTTATAGAGCAGAATGGAGTGATGTCACACAAAGGGACGGCGCCTGCTAGCTGCGGAAGAATTTTAAAGAGAAAAAAAAAACGAACGCAGAAGAGAAATCAATTCTTGGCTACCTCCTGAGAAGTAGACATTAAAAACATCTGAAACCTGTTAGTAGAACTGTGTTCTTGGGATTATAAACCTAATGTCTTCAGTAACCACTTTTTAATTGCAATTTTTGTTGTTATCATTTCATGTTTTTACCAGAGCTCATATTGCAATTTTTGTTGCTATTATCGCTTTTCTCTGGCAGTGATAAGGAGCTTTCCTCTGTCACTCCTTATCACTGCCAGAGAAAAGCGATAATAACAACAAAAATTGCAATATGAGCTCTGGTAAAAACATGCAATGATAACAACAAAAATTGCAATATGAGCACTGGTAAAAAATGACTGCTAAAGACAATAGGTTTATAATACCCAGAAATTCAAACACAGATGTCCTCATGGCACAGTGGATACAGGCGTTGGTTGGATCCGGTGAGAGAGCCCAAAGAGTGTGAGTTCAATACCCGGTTAAGGCAATGGAGAACTTGAAGAAGGGAATTGATAGGAGATAACTTATAACTGCCATCCATTGAACGTGGAACTAGAACAGTCTACCCCAGTAAGCGAAATAAAGGGTTCAGTTCGACATCCCGACCACCTGAAGAAGGCCGAAGCGTACAATGGCCAAAACGTTGTAATAAATATGGCGAACAGTAAGATTCGGGCAATAGTCCGAATAGTGTAAATAGTGTACATAATACCTCATCTCAGAAATATAGACAGATACAGAACTGTGTTCTATAAGAGACATGACATCTGTGGTTCGAAATTTTCTAAACTGATTTTTTTCGTCTTTCAATCTCTTTTTTCAAAAAATATTTCCTGCTTTATCCAAAATTTGTATCAACTTTTCAACGTTTTTTTTTTAATTTTTCGAAGATTGTATGGGAATCTTTTAAAATCACGTGTATATTTCTTGACATCTTTTTTTTGTGTGTGTGTGCAAGCCCATCTAGTAAAATAATAAATGTAGTTGAGGGTCTTGTTTGTTGCCGGCTTTTTTAACATTCGGGAAAAGAGAGTGTATGTTCTCGCTTCTTCATTTCAATTCCAGAAAGAATAAATTCTTTTACTATCTACTGTTCAAGGAAAAAATAAATAAATAGTAAATCAGAATTTAGGCAGACACGCTAGAAGTAAAGAACTGTAGAAGACTTTAGATAAAAACGTAAACCCAATCCTAGACAGGAAACAAAGGATAAATCTCTACTGCTGCTCAAAAGACCGGGGAGGTGTGTGAACCGGACGATAGGTGAAATAATTAATGATACCTCTTGATCTCAAACTATACGAAATTCCGCTTTAATTTTCCTTTAAATTTTAAATTGATAAAAAATATAATAAAATATTATAAACTGGTATCACAAGAAGATAATCTTTTAACGCAAATCATTTTAGCGTTTTAGCATCAATAAAATATTCCATTATTTTTATATCCCAAGTGGTTGGGACGAACAAAAACGAATGAAAATATAAGACAAGTGTATTTTAACACGAAATAAAACAACTTTTATTCATTCACTGTCTGAGAACAGCAAGGGTTTGTTTGCATTAAAACTATGAAATCAACTTGTGTATCGGATTGTCGCCATGTTTGAACATGGCGACAATCCGATAATCAGAAGTGCCGCGTTCAGTAAAGGTAAGTAACTCAATTTTATTTCGAGTTATCGTCCTTGATAGGGGAAGAAAATTCTTTTCCCCTAAATTCTATGGAAAGAATAGTTGTAATAATATTTAACATTTTTCATTGATTGATTGATTCGCTTTCTACGGTGGATCTTCCTTTCACAGAAAATATTTTTAAGTTGTTTTTTTGTAATGGGAGATATTAATGTTTTACTGATACAAGTCTTATTAATTACCCATAGTTAGGGAGAAGTTTCATATCTTTCTCGAGGTTATTTGCGCGTAAACGAATACAAGAAACCTAGTTGGAATAGGAACACTTTTTTTTTTAAGCTTTTCACCCCAAGTAAGGCGGGAAGCCACTAGGACGCAAGGGGGTTACAGAAAATACAGATAGGAGTGATAGAAGAAAGGATGAGGAGAAGGTTAGTGGATAGATCAAGGCAACTGGAGATGTCGATTGACATTACATTTGAATAATTGGAGATTATAGCTCTCAGGGAAACAGGAATAGAGAAGGGAGTTCCACAGGCGAGAGGTGCGAGACATGAAGCTATTGGAGTAGAAGAGACGGCTACATTTAACAGTTTCGACAGTGAAGGGGTGAGAGCGGGATACCAGCCTCGTAGGGCTCTTGAACTCATGAAGTCTGGGAACCAGCGAATGCAGCTCCTCGGAGCAATTGCCATGAAAGTATTTGTAAAACAGACAGAGAGAGGCGACGGCGTGTCTGTGAGAAAGTGACTGTACACGAGATGCCAGATCAGGGCCAATTATATTGCATATCCGCCTCTGGAGCCTATAAGTTGTCATTCATTTAGGTACTGACCAGACTCGACGTTGCTTAACTTCGTTGATCGTATGGAACCGGTGTGTCAACGTAAAATGGCCGAAAGCTTTAAAATTTTCATTGAGATATCATGAAAGTATAATAGAAGAAGAAGTGATATTTTAATAAGTTATTTCACTTGTTCTGCAAGAATACAAGTGCAAACAAGGAACTAAGAAAGGTGCTGGAACGGCCGAAAACTGCGCCATCCTTGCTTTCACTGATGCAAATTTGTCAATCACAATCACTTCAACTCGTGGTCAACAAGAAACTGTCGCTGTGGAATGTTGCCAGATGATTTAATGTTTAAAGTCTAATTATTAAAATTTACACTACAGATATACACCCTTGTGTAAATTAATTGAAACAAAACAAATAATTCCATTATTATTTGCTTTTTTCGTATTTTTCCGATGAAACATGACCCACCGCACATGTTAGTACTTCGCATGTCCATTCCACAAAGTCGTTTCTTGCAGATTGACCACAGATTCTCGACTGGATTTAAATCAGGAGAGTTTCCGGTTCAGTCTATAGTACTTTGATTTGCTCATTGGTAAGGCTTGCCAGTGTGTTCGTGCGGCGTTACAATTTTCGTACGCTTCCTTGGAGTAACGTCCATCGCAGACAATGACCGTAGGACAAATAATCGACAGCCGAGACAATAGTGTTTGGACGAGATAAAAATCTTTTGCAATCACCGATG